CTTTACAGGCACTACCTTTATGGGTAGATGTGGTACTATGTAAGTTCAGCAGTGTGTCACAGCATTATGAGATTTTTGTAGAGGTTGCTGTGAAATTCTGTCATTTTCCTGTAATACTAGCCTGCCAAAAAACTGTAGAAGTAGTCCTGTAATAGCCACTGAATCTCTTCTTGTATCACGAATCACCCAGTTCTTTTTTCTGTTTTCAGTAATGTTCAGTTTTTGCACTGTCATCATTTCTCTTCTTTCCTTTCCATCTCAAACTCTAATTGATACTTACAGAGATTATTTGAATCCTCCTTCCTCCATCCCTTTATTCTTTCACACTAGATTTGAAGTTTAGTGAAGTCAGCGGAAAGAATCACTTTCTCTATATGTAGTTTATTATGTTTTTTCAGTTGCTGTAAGTCTGCAGGCACTGCGTTCTAGTTAACAGGCAAAGTTTCCTAAGGATTTTAAGCTTCTTAATTCTTTTATCGGTTCAATAGAATAATGCCAAGTATACATTCAGTTTCCAGCATTTGACTAAAGCAGTGAATAACGTGTACTCATGAAAGTGTCTCTATATAGCCAGACTTCAGACATAAGAGTTGTAGGTATGAAGTTTGCATATGCATGGGATCCGTTTTGGTGGCAGGAAAGAGTTTGAAACAAACAAACAAGCAAAATCCCAAGGATTTGTCTGTCTCTTCTTTTCTCCAGAAGTTGTCATTACCAGCATAGCTGTTACAATATACTCAGGTTATTATTCTGTTACTCTTCTTAAGAGCTGAGAAATTGGTATTTCATTCCTTTTAATAATGGAACTTTGCCTAGTACTTCGTTAGGCGCTAACATCAGAGTCCCTGCTTTAAAATTACATATTCAAGAAAACAGTTAAGCTTTGGTTGTCTGGCTCACTTAGGTACTTGAGCATCTTAGCTGTAATTTTTTCAAGATTATACATAAAATGTATATAATAATTCTGCTGTTTTAAAGAAGGAGTCTATTGAAGTAATGGAATAAATATTTCTGTGGTTAAGGGACACTTATACTAAATGGGACATAAATGTAGTTTTATCCTCTGCGCACTGCTTAGGAAAAGAATTTTTGCTAGTTTAGTTAAAAAAGCAATAAAATATAAAAGGTAGGAATACTGTCAAGGCTGCCTGTAAGATCTCTATCTCTTGTTTTAATGACTTTATTTGGAGAGCAATATTGAGAAACTAGAGTAACGTACCTGAGGAAAACTTTCTGTGAAATTTGTCGATGTCTTCTACAGAAAATGTTTGCTGTGTTTGTAGAACATTGAACCCTTGTTCAGCAGTTATCAAAACATGGTAAAATTGTAGCAAACGTGCTGATGATAAATATCATTTAATTGATGTAATATAGTTAGGTGCTTGGGTTCCGCTGCACGTGGGGTTGGACTTCTAAATCGTGGTCTCCACCCAGGAGTGCCTGTATGCCCTGCACATTACTTAAAATTAAAGAAGAAAATTGGTATAGTTTCCAGCAGCCTCTAGTAATCTTATGATGAACCAAATATTTAAGTAGGGGTGGAACTTCAGCACATGGGTTTCTTGTCACAGTGTGATGCAACTTGGTGCCACAAGTTAGGAGGTTGCAGTGAGGCATGTGTCTGAAGTCACTTTTTCTGTCCTGTTCTTGTCTTTGCTCTTTGTTCCCAGGCCTGTTTTATCATATTAAGACATTTCAGCAGCGTAAGAGCATCTTATTTCAGAGTAACAAATCAATCTGAAAAAGTAAACAGTCTTTTCCATTATTACCCACCTCTTAAGATATCTTATTCAACCTCTCAGTTTTCTGCGAGCTTAATGTTCCTTACCAGTGACTTCATTTAATAGCCAGTTTTGTTAGAAGATTCAGCTCTGCTCCCTGGTATTATTGCTTTTGGGATACTGGTTTTACAAAAACAAGCAAAAGAAAACAGAAATAATCTCCCCTGCTGTTCTGTAGAACAGGACTTGCTTTGACCTTTGTAATGCTTTGAATATGCTACGGAAACCCCTGAAAATAAGATCAGAATATTGTATATGAGCACAAGATATTTTTTAAGGTCAGAGGTTTGGACTTCATTGTACAATACTTTCTAATAGAGTTTTAATAATAATTTATATGGTGATTTTTGATTATTTTCAAAGTGGTATCAGGTAATGCATAAAGAGAATATAAAGACATATAAATGAATTAAGTGATGTTTCTGCAGCTGTATGATTCGTCTAGTACTTAAACCATTCTGCGAGGTAAGATGGAGAGCTTCCTGCTAAATAATGAAAAACAGTTCTTTCAATGTAGTATGGCTCATGTGCTTTTGTTTCTGATGGGTTCTGCTTTGATGCTTGTTTCCCCAAAATTATTCCTTTGAGTCAACCATCTTGATCTGCAATGATTAACAACTTCTGCAGTGCCAAATTGCAACAGATCAGACTGCAGAACTGTGATGGGTCACAGCTGGATACCGCAGGCATAATGAAACCTCGCCTTTCTGCCTGCCTGCCTGTGTTCCACAGGTCATAGCACTTGCTGAGCTACTTGCAGACCACTTCTCTTCTATTAGCACGGTGTTTAGATAGCACAAAGACTTCAAAGTATGTGTGCAATAAATGAATGTGTGTTTGGAAAGCAGTGATAAAACAGGTCATCTTGATTACTGAAATGACACGTATTGCATAAGATTTACAACTCAAAGTGGTTGTGGTGTTAGTCGGCAAAATTCAGTCCAAGTTCATTTTAAATTTTATATGTAAAACTTTTGGTAAATAAGCATTTATAAAAACAAATTGGATAGCTGTTTTCATCCTGATATAAGTAGTATGTCTTTTCTGCTCTGAAGTATGGCATTAGAATAGGTCCATTAACCAGGTCAGGGGAAAAGTCTAAAAGTTGGTAGTGAAGCTGATGTTGGAAACTTTTGTCACTAGAAGCCAATTCTGGTTACTGCTAGGATATGCCAATTACAGTTACTCAGGATGTGCTTTCTTAGCACTCCTTTTGAGACCTAGTGGGGAAAATGATATTATGAATGATGTTAGCTCTTAATTCATCATTTTGTGACTCAATGGAATCCTTAAGACAAAATTGCTTTAGGGATGGCTAATGAATTTATATTGTTATGCAGGGAAGAGAAAGATGCATAAAAGGCCTGAAACTATTGGCAAGGCGGACTATTTTGATGTACCAGTGAAATCTGTTCAGTTGTGGTTGTTTATGATCTTCCATATGTGTCCAGCTGAAGGACCCAAAGTTCGTGAGCGTAAGTGAAAGTATAGGTACCTGATGTGTATTTGTACAGAAAGACAGTTCGAAAGCTGAAAACAGAATCCTTTTCAAGAACCCTCTTGTATGCATTAAACAGATAGCGTTGCTGTGAGAGCAGTTACAAAAACGTGTCTATACAAGCTGATTTCCAGTGTGCCTAAGGTTGTCACTACACGGCCAGTACTGATGAAATCAGTCCAGATGTGAAACAGCTGACTGACAAAATGAGTCTGTAGCAGTATGTTCATATAAGACAGGCAGCTTTGTGCATCTACGAGACACTCAAGAGTTCATAGGTGTTCCCCTTCTCTTTCTTTTAATTACATAACACCTTTTTCTTACAGGCCAGTAACAAAAAATAATAGGATAACTTATCACTGTGGCAATAAATATGTTTTTAATGAAACATTAAAATTTTCTACTCTTCAGTGTTCTGATTGGAACAGCTGTTTCTTTTTAGTATTAAATATTTGATTTTGGGAAATAGCTATTGTTGGTCAACTCACTATGATTATGCTTCATAATAAAGACAGCACCGTTTTTAAAAACTCCTCTGGGTCTTTGAGCGTCTGTATGTGAAAATATCTTTTTACAAAGTTGTAAACAAACTTAATTTTTAACTTCTAGCTGACTTTACTCCCTATTCACTGAATTGTTTTCTGTTTGGTTTATTAATTTGTAATTTGATTTATTAATTTGCAGTAATACACTTCGTTACTATAAATAACACTCAAAGGATTTCCTGAGACCAGATCTTAGGCCAGCTCTTAGGTAACTGAAGGAAATGCTATCTATTTTGAGCTCAGGTGTTTTTTTTTGTTTTTTGTTTTTTAAGTCCAATTTTGATGTCTCTGAAAATTCATTTCTGTGTGTTGTTTTATCAAGAATTTACTCATGGGAAAAGTCTTCTCTAAGGTACAGCCCCAGTGTCAGCTTGTGCTAATGATTGTATCCAGCTATTTCAAGGCTATAACGAGCCCATACTTTCTTGGATCTTGAGTCATCCGTTAGTGCTACAGTTAATTTAAAAATTACAGTAAAATACTATTGTCCTAGAATTTTGCATTAGTGCATGGCTGGTAGCTCCCCTCCATTAGTAAAGCTAAGAATGATTGCACAAGGCCTGAAGCCAAACAGAACGCCATTTCAATATATTGAGATGCAAAGTGCGTGCCTTAGTCAAAGTTTAGAAATACTGCAAGGAAGTCTGCCCGTATGGACGTGGTGGCTTGTTTTTGGAGTGTGTTGGTGCGTGTTGTTGCGTGATGGGGTTCTTTGTGTGTTTTTTGCTGCATGTTTTTTCCTGTTAAAAAGACCTGCATCTCTCTTCTGAATAGCTGTGTTATTAGCGGTAATTCAAGGGTGGTTAAAGAAGCTCAGAAGGATCTTGATGCTATTTTCTTCATTTTAGAAGAAGCAGCGGCTTAAAGACCTTCTTTTAAGTTAGGCTGATAACTCCTTTCTAGTTATCGAAATTCTGATAGTATAGAGTTAGCGTAAGAATAAAATTAGCCACAAGATCTGTTTAATTACGTTCTTGTAATTTAGTTCTCTTTGGTCCTAATTCTGTCATCCTTATTTATGTTGAACAGCCATTTCTTTTGCAGGTAATCAACTGAAATTATTGAACTTATTTGCATACTAAATGATTTGATGTGTGGAGTTGAAGAACTTGAAACACCTGTATATTTAGGCTTTTCTGTTTCCTAATGTTCAGCTTACCTTCCTTTCAAAAACAGATTTTGAAAACTCCAGAACTAAAATAAGAAGCACAGTATCAGTTCGAGAGGGGCAGGGAGTTGTGCTGCTTTGTGGAACACCACCTCATTCTGGAGGTAAGAAAGGACACAACTTAATTTTTTTTTTTTAAACTTCTAGCTGACCTTTTTTTTTTTTCTTTCCCCTCAACAGCAGCTTTTAAGAATATCTTGTGTGAGCTAGGTACACTGAATGTTTCCATGCTTTTAGCATGAAGTTCAAGTATTACCTGCCAAAACCAGCAAATCTAACCTCTGCTGGAAAGGAAGCTAAAGAGAAAAAGGGGGAAGGAAGTACCTAAGAAGAGCTTACATTTATCTTGAAATGTCTGTCTAGGCCCTCGTAATTTCTGTGCACTTAATATGTCTGATTTTTATGCTACTTCTGCTAATTAATTGAGTATCTTCTGCAGTTAAATTCTGCCCAATTTCCCAATTCTTTAGGCTCAATGAATCTGGTTTTCTGTATGACTAGCCAATTGTAAGAAATTAGATTTTTGTCTTTAAGCGTGCTAGTGTGTGCCTGTTTCTTGAAATTAAGACGTTTGATAGTATAATGCAGTGGTGCTGGCATAATTAAAACACTGCTATCTTGAGAGGGACCAGACGACTGGATGTATAGATCCTTCGTGAACCCAAAGTGATGACCTTACCATTCATTCTGTATTCTAAATCTTTGGCTAATTGACATTGAGCCTCGAGTAATACTTGAAAGTAACCAATTTTATTTATTGATATGCAGTCCCTTTTTTTTCCTTTTTCTTTTTTTTTTCTTTTTTTTGGAAGGCTGTGATGTTAAACATCAGTTTTGATTGCAAAGGCAAAGTAATACAAAAACGTTGCAAATGCAATAATTTAGGTATTTTGGCCTCCCTAAATTTGGCAGAGTCTAAGTGCTCACAGGTCTAAAGTGACAGTTTTACAACTGTCTGAAACTTGCAGAATTTTTCTCTCTCCTAACTGACATATATGCTTAAATTATCTTTAATTCCTTAGAATAGCTTTGTCTTTTTGGCTGCTGAGAAAATGGGTTATTGTCCCACCTGTCTGTAAGAACAGAATGATTAAATTCTGCTTCTATATGCCAATCTGATACGCACATCCTGTCTGTGCACGTCTCCAAACTAACTACAGTCCTGCACTATATCTGAAATGAGAAATTTGAGGTGTTAAACAGGAGATGATACAAAACGTGCTCATATTCCTTAGAATCGTGGTTCAGATCACCATATGGAAAAGGTGAGAATTTCTTTCACAGCCAGCAGATGGGATATGATTGACCCTCCCACACTCTTTGTTATTCATGCAAAAAAGAGAGAGCTGAAGGGTCTGTGAATTACCAAATGGATTTGAGAATTGTTACCAAAATTATTTTAAATTCTCAGATGTGTTTGAGAATTAGAAGATTAACCATTAAAGTTTTCAAGAGAGATGGAACAAAGTGGAAATGTCCATCCTCTTCTTTCTCTCTTCAGTAAGATAAGCCTATGTCATAGTGCTGTTTATATCTGGCACAATGGCATGCAAGTCAGTAAGTCGTTGCTAAGATATTAATTAGACTGATTCAACAGAGCCCATAAGAGAGCAAGAGAAGTAATCTATTAGGCGTAACTGAAAGAGAAAGCAGTGTGATAACCAAGAGCAATTTTGAAATATGTGTAAAATTGGTGCAAAGAGCAAGCAATGACTGTTCTCTCTATCTAGCAAGAACAGAACAGGAAGTGACTGTGGACTTCCACTGCAGCAAGGGACCCCTAGCAACCTAAGTTAGATACGAGGACCAGAATGGCTAAAATTATTAAGTGGAAGTGATTGCCTGAGGAGTTGGCAGACTTTGAAACTGGAATTTTTTTTTAAGAACAAGTTCGACGATTATCTGTCAGGAATGGTTTGGGTACAGCAGATCTGGCCGTAGGGCTCTGAGGCACTTCAGCCCTTTCCAGACCTGTGATCTCTAGTTTTGTGATTTTGAATTTGTTCTGCTGAGTAAACAAATTCTGTACTACAGTAACTTTAAGAACTTTCTCAAATACATTGTCTTCTGTTCCACTTTGATAACAAAAACAATGTTTTAGTGTCAGGCATGTAAGATGCAAGAAAGAAACAAAGCACATTGCAGGTTTTCTCTTAAAGAGGCAAAGAAAATGAGTGCCTTCATGTGCTGAATTTGGTATCCCTTTCAGCACTAACCACCTCTTTTGTAGGTATCTGTGGGTACTTTCAATGAAAGCCTTTTGAGTTTTGCCATCTCTCACAATTTATAAGGTCTTGCTATCTTGATGGGAACTTGCAATTACCTTTACGTTCCTTGTAAGGAGCTTTCAAGGAGACTTGAATAAGTTGTGATTATTCTTCCATATGCAACACTCCAGTTGCAGTACAAACAGATCTTCACCTCAGAAGAAATAACCAATTCACAGTTTGGAAAAAAGAAGTTGCTTCTCTTTCCTTCTCCGATTTGACTTCTCTTCCCCCCCCCCCCCCCCCCCCTTGGGTTATCTTAGCCATCAATTCATATAAATAGTATGAGTATTCCCTTTCGGTGGGGAGTGACTTATTCACACAGTTAAGGGTACTTTTGTACTTTTCAGCTTCAGTCCCATAAAGGTATAGACATCTACTGTTTAAACCCATAATGAGACTCCATTTAACTTTGTATATGTTAGCTCATATGTTAAGCTCATATATCGGCTTGTTTTCTGTGATTGCTGTTAGTATATGGGGGGAGGAAGAAGATGCTCACAGTCAGTACTTCCAGCTGAGGGTTCATAGATCAGTTTTATATTACTGTGGTTAAACATGAGCTCTATCACAAACTATTCCAATTTTTTCTTGAGTTAACAGCATTTTCCCATTTTTGCATTCTCTGTTTCAGCAGATTTGTTTGAGATTTACTGAATGGGAGATTCAGTGAATGATTTGCCTGTTGTGTGAAGATTTCCCCCCTCTTTCTCTGTGTTATTTTTCTAGCTGAAGAAGGATGTATGTGTAATTCAGTGATTATTACTGATTTGGGATTTCAAATTAAAATTGAAAGAAAATATTTCACTAATTCAAATAATTACAATTGAGCAGTTTATGGGGTTTTTTGTTTGTTTTTTTGATAATTAAGATGCTCTTCGGTCATGAGTAATCATTGTTCTACAGATGTGTGACCATATTTCTTTATATAACTTTAATTCTGTTACAGGGAACATGCTAAAATACGCTATTTTTCACAAAACAGCAAGTCTTCTCCCCCACCTACTTGAGAGGTAAAATGACATCTAAAATTGGTTTATATAGGTTTATTCCTACCTTTTCCAATTGTTATTGTTGTTAAACTCCACTTAAGTCTCCAGGGCTATTTTGACCTTTTACTATCTTTGTTATGTTTTTAGAGGAGAGACAACATACCAGTCATCTCAAACATACAAAATTTAATATTAGACATGTATTTAAAATGCAGCTAGTTAAAAAGGCTAGACATATGGCGATCTAAAAATGATTTTTTTTCTGCTATTGATTTTGTTCCAAAAATCAAGTATTTCCTGTCCTTCAGGAGAGGAGAGAACAACGAGGCATAGCCCTCTTACTTGATTTGTAGAGATGAAGATTAGCTTTATGGTTATCTACACTTTTCAAGGAATTCAGATTTGCCTGAATTACTGTGTTGGCGTGTATACCCACCATTATCTTGTTGCTGTATGGAATATGACCATAACCAAGAAAAATCTGGGTAAATGCCAAGAATGTTATGGAGCCAACAACCTATTTGCTTTCATGTGCTAGTGTGATGTCCTGCTTGCCTCATAATTACAGTTAGCCTTGTGTGATATGAATGTGCCCGTTTCATATGGGAACGGGCAATATGGCAAGGCATTTCTACGTGAAAAAGCAGCAAGAAGAAAGATGGAGAATGTTCTCCATCTTACTGTCATGCCCTGATAAATGCAGTCCTAAATGATAAATGAGAGCATATTTGAAAGATAGTGATCAATCTAGCTTATAGATTATTATTTTAAAGCTGTGGCACGCTGGTTTGAAATGATATGAGATCACTGTGAAAATAGATCACAATTTATTGCTCGCTGGTTGGTATGACAAATCATCCAGTGAATAATGTCATGTCTGTTGCAAATTAGTATTTAGACTTGCAGATTGTTGCTCATGTCTCTGTATTGCCATTTGGAGGCCTGTAAGTTCCAACAAGACTGCTTCACGAATAACACAGCATAGAAAATCTCTCGTATGCCAGAAATATTTTGATGCTTTTATTTTTTACACAACTCTTGAATACCAACATGCCATTTTTCAGGGAAGTGTAATTTGAGTTAATAGAACTCATTTGGCTTTGTAAACGTTTCATACGCTTAAAACAAAGAAAAGCACACTGACAGAAACCCGGACTATAGTGTCTTTTCTGTTGCCTATCTCTGTGTTTTCAGTTAGGTGCAAAGTGGCCTGATGTCTGCACATCTACTTTTTGCTTTTGTTGCAGATTGTGGATGATATTCATGTGGGCATGAACAATAAATCCTACTTGGAATAGGCACATTATGAGGTTTTCACACATAAATGCATTCTAAGGAGAATAGTAAGTTGAATACTGTTAAGCAATGGCCTTACAGATTGTTCCGTAGTGTTCTTGAGCTGTTTGTTCTGAGTCTGCCAAGGAGAAATGATGTTTTTATTTAAAAATATATTTTGAGATAGTCCTGCTGGTGTCATCATCATCGTCTGCACAAATTTCAGCTGACAATTTGAAATCAAATGATGCCCTAGAGACATTTATGTTCGTCCGTATAAGAGACAATAATACATGTTCCCAACTGGAATTTACAGCGATTTCTGTCTGTCAAAGCGTTGTTCTCCCCACCAGTAACAAATCAATATCTACAAAGAGAAATGATTCCTCAGACTAACTCTGTGTTCTTCCATATACATATGTATAATATATAAAAATAAAATGCCCTTTTTTGATAAGTCTGTGTTCCAAGTTGAAGTAAAGCTGATTAAAAATTAGTTTATCCTTATTCATGTATTTTTCCAACATGTGTAGCTACTACCTACTAGGTGCTTTTTAAGCTAGTTTGGAG